GCTCCTGTTGCTGGCGGCCAGCTCTGAAGCCAGGCTGTAAATCACAAACAGCTGAGGTTTAATTCAGCAGATGGATCTTCTGACAGTGACTGGAAAAGCAAGAGGCCTTCGCTTCCTTTCCCACTGCCACGCTTCCTGCGCTGCTTCGGGCCCGGATCCACATGGGAGGTGAGGGGTTTCCCCAGCCAGTGGTAACACCTGCTGTTTCCCTGGGAACAGCCTCCTGAACACTGAATTATCCTCCCAGTTAGTCTAGGAGCAAACTTTGTAAGAATCAGAAGTCCTGTCTTCTTCAGACCATCAGCAAATGAGAAGATCTCACAGGAAATGTACAGTCAATGCATTCTCAACCCTGAAATCTGCTTTCATGTTATGGGACGAAGGCCATGGAAAGAGTAAGAGCAAAAGACCCCATGCATTTTCTCTCCTTTCTGTACAAAGTGCTCTGGAGAACCTGGGGCACCCTCAGGTTCATCAAGCATTGCTTGAGAGCCCATTTGGTCAGTTTTTAGCATACATACAATTTCAGAAGAGTTAGACCAGGAGAGACAAGCTTGAAAAGACAGCAACATCCACAGCTTCCTGAGGAGGGGAAATGGAGAGGAGGGGGTGGTGCTGATATCTTCTCCCTGGTATCCAGGGACAGGACAGGACATGTGGGAATGGTTCAAAGCTGCATCAGGTGATGTTCAAACTTGACATTAGGAAACATTTCAGAATGGGCTTGGGGTTATTCCAAGCATTTGCTGTTAACTTTGGAAACTGGAGGTGGGAAAAGATTTTGTGGTTAGCTTTACATAATGTTATTTGCTTCCTTCTTTGAAGCATCACATTTGAAGGCCCTTCTTCATTGTCTCCTCTCCCATGAGTGGATTTCTGTGGCTTCTGACATGGGTTACATACTCACAGTATGACAGTGTGAAGCCACGTACTCAGCTTGCCTTGTCCAGAGCCCCTTGGATTGGAAAGAAAGCTGGTGCTTTTCTCTGAAAAGGCCCAGCAGGGTCACCTGCAAAGTCATAGTTAGTGGCTTGCAGACCACACCCCAGCACTGCAGGCACAAACCAGCACAGAGAAAAAGCAGCACAGGCCGTTCTCCAAAGCTTGTCCCAACCCGCTAAAGGCAGTCCTGCCTGAGAGATGACAGACTGGGATTTACCAACTGCCCAGCTCTTAGGTATCTTCCAGAATTGCTGTCATTTGCCAGGGGTGGGCTGCACCCCCAAAAAGGACTAGCCTGGGGGCTCCAGCAGGTTGCCTTTCCTTTCCAGTGGGGTCGATTTTGGCAAGCAGCAGGGCATACTGTGTCTGGCAGAGACTGCTTGCCAGTTTGCACTGTGTCATGTGCATCCATCAAGGCCTATATCTGCATCCCACCTCCTCACAACCCTAAACATTAGTGATTTGTAGAGAGCCCGTCTGAAAGGACTGACATCAGAACCCTCCTCTGTACCTGCAGCACCAGTTCTCATGCATGCAAACTCCTCTGAATTTGCTCTGCAGAGAGTTCATGTACCCCCTGAAAGGTATTTCAGACCACCATGTAGGGAAGTACTTTCCTCCTACAAATGCTGAAACAGCTGTACTAAAGGCTATCAGGCCCACGCACTTGTATGCCCTTTGTTGTGTCAAAGAGGAACTTAGGACAGCCCTCAGCTAAGCAGGGCTACCTTGTATCAACCAGCCATTTGGACTGAGCTTATTGTATTTCCAGCCTAGAAACTGCTCTATTATCTTGCCATCCAGTAAGATTTCTGACTACCTATAAACAGACGGTTGAGATTCTGATTTTCAAACCTCATTTTCAGCACTGGGAGAATTTATTTTCTTCCCAAGATTAGCTCACATGCTTCTGGAGAAGCCAGGAAGCAAGAATCACAGCTATTCCAAAAGAGCATGTGATGCACCTAATGCGAGGACATATGTGCTCCATCCATGCCTTTGTGAGCAACTGGACTTAAGAGTGATTGGTCTCCCATCCTTCCTTTAAGCAGGTATTTCTCCAGGAGACAAGCAGCACTTGTTACTTCCCAGCCACTTGAGGAGTCAGAGTTGCTGCAACACAGTCTTCCTATGTAGCAACTTAAAGGAAAATGTGGATGTTCGCACAACTTGATATTTTATTTATTTTTTTCTGAAGGGTATTGTACACCAAATATCCCATTTGCAGGAAAGCGCATTCAATGTGTTTAGAAGCCAAACAGTCACTTTCATTTTAACAAACACAATTACAAAGTAAAAATAAACCACAGAATAATGAACCACATGTTCATAACATACAAAAATTGCTGCCTACTCAGTAGGTAACTACAACATTCCAACTCTTGAATATATATATATATATAAATTTACATTTTTGTAACAAAAATAGACTTTGAGAGGTGTGGTGGGGTTTTTGTTTTGTTGTTGTTATTTGTTTGGTTTTTTTGCTTACATTCCATTCCCTGGGGCTTTCTTGTGCTCCCCTCCCCACCAAATCCCTGGTCTCTCTTACATTCTTTGAGTAACATCCCTTTCACTTTAAGGCAAGATGCAAAGCATCCATTCACACAAATGCATGATATCAGCAAGGCTTCACAAAAAAGGCACCAAGACTTGTAACTTAAAAACCAAAACTTCTGCCACGTTAGTGTCTCATCAGGTGATATTTACATAGCATCACTCTAACATGCTCTAATACAGTTAAGTGCTGTTCCCAAAGAAGTTTGAAACTCATTACAGCATTGTCACTGAAATAGAATTAACGTTCACAAAATATGGCCCTGCAAACTCCAAATAATACAATATGGATATGCAAAGATTTTCACATCAATAGTACCTAAAGGAAAGCAAAACCATGGCACATGTACAATTTACATCAGCTACATATTTAATTAAAAGTCCTTTCTTCCTAATAAAAGACTATTGTTTACGGGGAAAATTATACTGAACTTATATCCACAGTCCATGCAAATTAAGTCATTCAACAGAGGTGGAAAACTTAAATGGCAGTTGTTTCAGGCAGCTGAAGTTTAAAGAAAAATTAAATAGCCTTGCAACATACGGTGTTAGGGGAGTAACTGGAAACTCCATGCCTGATAGTACCAATGGAAAAAGTGAATTTTCCTGTTCCAGAAAGTAATCTCAGCAAATCTCAATTGTCCTTGGAGAAAAGGCTGATGTCATGTCTGAAAGTGCTGAGGTCACCTGTGAGCTGAAATTGTTGGTGACCCCTGGAGATGAGAAGGAGGTGGCCACTTGGGTCTGAAAAGTGGCAGTGCCAGAGGGGTAAGTGGTTGCTATAGAAGGAGATGGGAATGTGGTGTGTGCAGGGGAGGGGTAGGAAGAGGGAGCAGGAGAGGAATACACTGTGCGCACTGGTGAGGAGTAAGTGGTGGTGATGGAGGAAGGGTAGGATGTAGTCACAGAGGACGAGTAGGCAGGAATTGGAGAAGCAGTTGAGACTGGAGCTGCCTTTTCCACTTTCTTGTCCTTCTGCCTAAGGTGGATTTTAGTGTGTCTCTTCCTCTCATCACTTCTGGCAAACTTTCTGCCACAAATGTCACAGGCAAATGGCTTCTCTCCTGTGTGTGTGCGGATGTGCGTAGTCAAGTGGTCGCTCAGCTGAAATTCCGCATGCAAATGCGGCACTGGAAAGGTTTCTGTCCCGTGTGGATGCGAATGTGCCGTGTTAGCTCATCGGACCGTGAAAATCTCCGGTCACAGGACTCCACTGGGCAGGCATAGGGACGCTCATGAGGAGGGGTCTTGCTCGGACGATTTGGGTATTTCCTCATCCTGCTAGGCTTGATCAGCTGAGACTGATAGTTAGTGTTGAGGGTCTTCAACTCTTGGGAGCCAGTCTGAGTAGCAAATGCCTTAATAGTGGACAGTGGTGTGAGGGAAGGCTGCTGTGCTCTGGTCTCAAGGGCTGGGAAGGGCTTCTGATCAGCTGGAACAAGACTGAGCTCACCCTGTTGCTGAGGGAACAGGTAATCCGGGATCATTGGCACCTGAAAGTTGGTCTTAGCAGTCGGATAAGCTGGAGGTGGATATTGGATGGGGGCTCCAGAGGGGTTGGGAAAGGACTGGGTTTGCGGTTCAGGGAAAATATCAGAGCTGGAATTGGGAAAAGTTGGTGCAGCTGAATAAATTGGACTGGTCTCGCTGGCTTGGACAGAACAGCTCAGAGGGGGGCTCTGCGAGGAGGAGGATGGTGATGATGAAGGGGTAGAGGTGGGAGGTGCATTAGCCATGCCCACCAGCCCACTGACAAGGCTGAAGATGGGCTCTGGCCATAAGGTGTTGCTGCTGTTGGGGGCTGGTTCTAGGGAGAAGCGCCCCGTGTAGGTTATCGGTGGCAGTCGCGTCGTTTGGTTGGGATAGCTGGTTTCTGGCAGGGTTTTCTCGTTGTTCAGGGAGATCTCGGGGAAAGTG